AAAACAACAATATTAAAAAAATTAGAAGTGTAAATAAATTAATCAATAACTCAAATTCATATTTAATCAATTGTAGAGAAAGAACAAAAGAGAGAAAGAAAAGAGATTGAGAAGATATAAGTCAAAATTAATATAAATATAATGTAATTATAAGTATGATAAAATTCAACAACACGAAGAAGGAGGAGGAGAGACATATAAGGGAGGAAAAGAAAGAAGATGCAGAAAAAGAAGAAACCAAATGAGCAGGTTATGTTGGTGTGAGAATATATAGAGTTTTTTACCCATATGAAATTTGTCGGTATTATTTTTACCGACGTAATGCACATAATTAAGATAAAAGTTTGAGCGGGAGCCAAAAAAAAAGTTGAAATTTTTTAATCCCGCCTTTTGTTTCACCGACAAAATTCTTGTTGAAAAGTTAAAAACCAAATATTTTGTAGTTACCGCCATCATTTACCGACAAATGCACGCTGGTAAGTTTTTTTTTTTTTTTTAACAGTACTTGAATATGCATTTAATTGCAAGCCTAACCTCAAAAAAAGTCTAATTGCAAGCCTCAAACCAAAAACTCTCAAAAAAATCTTTGAAAAAAATCGTCCTAGAAAAAACAGTGTCCAAAGCCCCTTATTGTTCCCAGTGGCTATGGCCGTTTGGTGGCTATCGGTGAAGAGGATGAGATCCGAGAGATGATCGACAAAGATAGTGATGAGATTGAAGTCGGGGGACTGGAAAATCATCCTAAAAAAAACAGTTCTCCAAAACCCCTTTTTGTTTTCCCTGTGGTTATGCTCGTCTAGTGACGATTGGTGAAGATGATGAGATCCGAGAGATGATCAGCAAAGATGGTGACGAGATCGAAGTCGGGGAACTGGAGAGAGGCTGATGGTTGGAGAAAAGAAGATGCTTATTTTTGTGTGGCTAAGAAGATTCTTATTTTTTGTGTGGCTACCCCCTCTGGCTTTGTCCGAATTTCCTCCACTGGTTTTTCTAAGGGTTGGCAAAAGCGGCTGCAAATCCCATCCTTGAAGAATTAATGGACTGTGGTCATTGGACATGGGATATGTTTGGTGGGCTACCGGAGTGATATCACCAACAAGATTTTTGTTGCAGAATCTTATAGTTACCGACAAGAGATTCATCGGTCCCTAAAATCTCTGCTCACTGCACACAAAAAGTTGCCAGAGCTAGCGGAGTGGGTATTCAGGGTTAATACCGACAAAAAATACGTGTGCGTTGGATGAATTTACCGACGAAATGCTCCTCTGGAATTTAAATAATATAAATTAATTTTCATTTCACTGTTTTTAACCATACAGACATGTTCTTTGTCAGTAAGCATTCATTTGATCGACAAATCTTTCCACGTCGGTGATTTTCGGTCAGTGATATTAGGATTTCTAGTAGTGAGACAATCTAATTACTTTAATTAAACCCATGGATATAATTAATTTATTATAATTAACTTTAATTAATTTCATTAATCACATATTAAATCAATTATCATAGTTAATTTGTTACTTTATAAATACATTTTTTTTATTTTTTTATTTTTACTTTTTTTTTATATATTATTAATTTTTTTAGTGCTTAAAGTCTTAAACCAATATGAAAGGGTCGGGTAACCCAATCCAGAAACATGACCAAATTGCAAAAATTGGCAAAAACAGATCAGACATATGAGGATAAAGTAGAAAATTAGGGTTCATCTGGCTTTAGCAACAATTTCACAAAATATATTTCCAATTCCAAATCCATCAAACATTCATAGCATAACAACAAATCTATCATTCATTTCTCAATAATTTCATACAAATTTCAGCACTAATCACCAGAATATCATAGTACATCAAAGAGGAAAAAAAAAGAAAAAGAAAATCCAAGGTGGAAATTTCAGGAGAAAGGCGGATCCATTTCCAAAAGGAGGGATCCCACCCACCCACAAGACCAGGCTCCATTCATCACCTTCGCCACCTTATCCCAAAACCCCTCTATTTTCAGAAAATTGCCTAAAATGAGATACCCAGAAACAGTGAGCTCTATTCAGCTGGGAACCCTCTCCAACCGGGTGCTCCTTCTAATACCTCCGAAAGTGCTTCTCCTCCCTTTCAACCGCCATTCCAGATTTTTTCCAATATTCCAAAAGCAAAAGCCCCAAAAACCCTCTACTTAAAACCTATTTATACCCTTCAGAGACCCCTACTTTTCAACCAAGAATCAAGCCGTAGCTCTAAACCAAAATGGACCTAGTCTTACGAAACTTGTGTCTGCCAAGGAAGGCCCGATGTGAGGGATTTGGGCCGATTACAAAAGGAGCGGCTTGGTCTCTTTTCAGGTGTGTGAACTGATTTTTGGTTGCACATGGATCTCCGACCAGTTCAAGTGCAAACTGGTGAGTTACCGTTTTCCGATCGTCGCCGTCGTTGCACGTAGCCATCACCACTATCACCACTCGCTGGATCAGGCTTCATCTATGCTGATTTGAGTGCTCACTCGCTTCGATCTTCACAGACAACCATGAATTGCAGATCAGAAATAGAAAGAGAAATCGAAAATGGAGGGAGCAATAGAAGATGAGGGAAAAGGTGGAGGCTTGGTGATGATTGAAGGACTTGGAAGCCATGACAGATGATGATGATGATCGGAGAAAGAGAAAAAGACTTCGCTGGCGAGTTTTTGAGGAAGAAGAATCGTTCTGCGTTTGAAAAGGTGAGAGAGAAGAAGACTTAGAAAAATGGTGAGATGAAAGGATTTGGAAGCCATGAGAGATGATGATGATGATGATTGGACAAACGAAAGCTGGCTGCCGGCAGATTTGAAGAAGAAGAGCCATCTGCACAGGAAAGAGAGAAATAGAGGGCCTGCGTGAAAGAGAAATGAAGAGAGAGGAAGACTCAGGACATTTAGGTTTTTTTCTTTTGAAAGGTATGAAACGGTGAGTTTTGAGGGAATATGGATTGGACTTTGATTTTAATAGTTATGGACAGTTTGAGATGGGTTTGCAAATGGGCTGAGCTTTTAAGCTTTTACAATTTTTTTTTTTCAAATTTCACCACTAATTTGGAATTTATTTGATTGAGTCTGTTTCTAGAATTTCCTTTTCCCAATCTCTTTAGAAAATTCTTCTTTTCGTCCACAAAACCTAAAAAAATAAAAATAAAGTATGTTAGTTAAAACGAAAGGTTTACTTTATTAAAAATTTGAGTTATGGGAAACTTCTCTCTAAATGTTTTTATCCATTCTTGTCCCCTGTTTTTTCAGTTGTATCCAACGAAAATTTTCCATGCTACAGCTCTTAGATTTTGGCTCGTTACGTGACATAGCTATGAAATCTCCCAAGGTAAGAAATTAATGATAAAGTTTGCCAAAGTATAATAAATCAATTGGAATACGTCCAAAAGTGCATCAGTCGTGTCTTTAAATGAAAAACAATAATTATAAAAATAATTCGTTATATTATGCATAAATATAATATACTTGAAACAATGTGCGCCTAATTTAATAAAAAAAAAAAAACAATTGTGCCCCCCAAGATTTTTTTGTGCACATGGCACTGCACATTTAGGTACTACCATCGAAGTCCAAGTGCACGGTATCAAATTGTAGATGCAGAGTCAGCGAATAACAAAAAGACACCTCAAAAATATTCTATCAAGAGGCTTGTAAATTATAAAATATATCCTGTGAATAGCACAAGAAATGGGCACCTTACTCTCGTGGCCTGGCCTGAAGGCGTTATGTAATATTGAAAGTGCATTCGTCAATCCTTGAGCTGGGTTTTAATCCCCCATTTAATGTAATTTGTTTAAAATAAAAATAATAATATAATATTTAATTTACCAACACGAAATAATATTTGATTTGATTCTGGATGTATGTAGTTAATTGTAAAATGATGTCATATTTTTGGTAAATATTAAAAGTTTAATGTTATTTTTAGTTTTTAAATTTTATTTTTAAATTTTTTTAGTTTGTGAATTATTTTATACATTTTTTTAATTATGAAAAAAATTTATTTTTAGTCATTTTATTAATTAATCTATTAAATTTATCTATATATACATATTATTATTCTTTAAATTTATAATATATATTTTTAGTCTTAGGATAACAAAATATATATATAAATAAATTTAAAGAATTAATTAATGAGAAATTCAAAAAAAGTTCAGTTTTTATAATTTAAATATTGGAAAGTTAAAAAATAATTTAAAAATTAAAAATGACATTCAACTAATATTTTACTTAAAGCATTGTGCATCTAATCTTGGGAGAAAGACATTGTCCACATCACATATTTTTATCTTTAAATCGAGCGATATCCACATGTTTAATTTTCGGACCTGATAGTTATCCATTTTGTTTTGTCTAACATGTTCGGTGCACTTGGCCACGTTGCTGACGTAAAGTTAGGGTGTGTTTGGATCTCTATTAGAGTTTTTTTTTTTTTTTTTAATGTGCAGTATTTTTAAATATATATTTAATAATTTTTTTTAAAATTATTTTTTTAATTAAAAAATTATAAACTTACAATAATTTTATGTAAAAAATTAAAAATTTTATTTGAAAATTTTTTGACAATATTTTCATAAATAATATTTAATATTTAATATAATTATAAAATTATCTATTAAAATGCAATCTTGTTTAATTTAATTATATTATAATTTATAATATTTTATTTAAATCTAACTTCTTATTTATTTTAAAATTTATAAAAAAAATTAAAAACTTATTTACTCTTTATGAATTGCTCTCTTACAAAAATCAAAGGAACACAAATCATATAAAATTTAAAAAACTTAAATGATTAAAAAAATACTAAATGTTAACTATTTTAATAATTATACATCATATTATATTTTTAAAATTTTAATTAATAATTAATAAAAATTACCATATGTTATCTACAAAATTTTTAAAATATAAATAATTAAATATCAAAATAATTCTTAATTAAAATTACAATACAATACAATTTAATATAATAACAACTACAATTATAACTATAATATCTTACAACAATTTTAAACACATCTTTAATCAATAAAATGACATATCAAATATATATTCCTTAGAGACTTACAAAATATCGCGGGCACATCATAGGAAAGATAGAAATACAAGACTCATTTCCCATTAAAAAAGGAAAGATAAATGCAAAAACGCTCAATTTTCACGAGATATAAACAGGAAAAATACAACATCCCTCGAAAATTTTATAAAAAAAATTCTTTTATATTATTTGTTGAGCATGAAACTTACCACGTCGAGGTGTAAACTCTAGTAAAATAGAGGAAGGAGAGCTTCACCTGCGATTTTGTTGATAAAATAACAACTTTGTTAATTTAAGTGAAAGAACGGTCGGTTAAAGGAAAGAAAGACAAAGATAGGACTATGTTTGTCCAAAGGCGTCTTGTGGCAGAATATGATGTAAACAATTCAAGGCTTGGAATCCTCTTTTACTCTCAATAAATATTAATATTATTACTGCATGAAAGAAAAAACTGGTCCACAGGCATCTTGTGGCAGAATATGATGTAAACAATTCAAGGCTTAGAATCCTCTTTTACTCTCAATAAATATTAATATTATTACTGCATGAAAGAAAAAACTGGTCCACAGGCATCTTGTGGCAGAATATGATGTAAACAATTCAAGGCTTAGAATCCTCTTTTACTCTCAATAAATATTAATATTATTACTGCATGAAAGAAAAAACTGGTCCACAGGCATCTTGTGGCAGAATATGATGTAAACAATTCAAGGCTTAGAATCCTCTTTTACTCTCAATAAATATTAGGGAAATGATTGCTACACTAGTTCAATATTTGATTTAATATTTTTTGATTTAATTATTAAAAATATTATATAAATATAGTTAATTTAATCAATTTTTATATTTTGTGTGTATGATTGTATCATTATATTCATTTATTTTTAATTTTAAACTAAAAAATAATAATTTTTTAATGACTAAATCAAAAAATATTGAACCAAATGTTAAATCGATGAGTATACCAATTACTGTCCTAAATATTAATGTTTTTACTGCATGAAAGAAAAAACTGACAACAATAATGGAAAATGACAGTGGGATGGCGGAGAGTAAATAGTAAATAAGACATGATGATTATTATAAATATTTGATTATATAATAATTAATAATTATTTTTTTGTTGTATAAGTTATATTTTAATTTTTTATATTAAAATTTGTATTTTATATTTTTTTATTAATTATTAAATTTTACAATTATTTTTTGTTAAAATATTTAAATTAAGTAATTAAAGTTGAGTTTAAAATTCTTTTTAATAATTGACAATAATACTTTTTTAAAAGGTTATGTAAAGTTATATTAAAAAGAAATAATCTTATGAAAATTTATAAAATATTCATTATTAATCTTCATCTCATAATTCAAAAAAATTCCATTATTATCTCAATTAATAATTCATGCAATAATTTTTTTCTATCAATTATAGAGTTAAAGTTAAATAAAAACATTATTAGGTTTCTTCAAATCCTTCATTTGAATTGCTTTAGAATTATAACCAAATAACAAATAAAACTAAATATTAGTATTAAATCTTGTCATTTTTGTTTTATCTTTATTAATTTTTTCAATTTTTGAGTTGCTCATATTAAACCTTAGAATATATTTAGTTGCAATAATCATTATTATTTAACTGAAATTTGAAGTCTTATTTATTTTATTTTGAGATACATAATGGATTCAACTTTTTGTCATCTATTTTACTTAGATTACATTAGGTTGCTCAAGTCATTGGTTTTGAAGTCTCATTTATATTAGTCATATTAGTTCTATTTTAGTCTCTTGTAAAGAGTTTAAATAGTCGACACTTGTCTCTTCATTTTCCTTTTGTTTGATAATTTTTTTATTTTTTAATATTTAAGTAGCTTTACCTCTTTGTTTACCCAGAGAAATTAATTCATATGGTAATGCAAAGGGAAGCATTATTTAGATAGACTTACCTCTTCAAATGCCGAAAGAAATTAATTAGCACATTGCACAAAAAAAAAAAAAAAAAAAAAGAAGGTTAGATGAACCAATTTCTTCATCTATATTATGGTTTAGTTTTTATTATTTTTTTTATAAATACATCCCCTAATTAATACAAAGGGTAGTAGTTTTCTATGTATTTTAAATGGTCTTGCCTCTTCATTTACCAAGAGAAATTAATTCAAATGATAATGCAAAAGGAAACACTATTTAGATGACCTTACCTCTTCATATAGTAAGAGAAATTAATTAACATGTTGCACCAAAATAAAAAAGAAAAAGAAAAACGATTCAATGAACCAATCTCTTCACTATATTTAGTTTTTATTATATTTTATGTAAATACATATTTAAAATGGTCTTGCCTCTTCATCTACTAGGAGAAATTAACGCATATGGTAATACAAAGGAAAACACTAATTACGTGACATTGCCTCTTTGTACACCAAGAGAAATTAATTAACATGTTTGCAAAAAAAAAGAAAAAATGATTACATGAACCAATCTCTTCACCTATATTACGGTTTTTGTTTTTTATTATATTTGTTTTTTGTAAATACATATCCTAATTAATACATAGGATAGCATTTTTGAAAAGAATGATAAGAAATAAGTAAAATACAATATTATATTTTAAATAAATGTATACCCTATTTAATGCATAAGGTAGCATATTATAATAGAGAGAGAGAGAGAGAGAGAGAGAGAGAGAGATTATTCATTGTTGGATACATAGATTTTCTTTATGCATAGGGTAACATTTTGATTTTCTTTATATATATATATTTTATTAATTGTTAATCTAATGATCAAATAATTTTTACCTCATACTTTT